CTCCAGCACCTCCAGCTCCAGCGCCTCCAGCTCCAGTGCCTCCAGCGCCAGCGCCTCCAGCGCCAGCGCCACCAGCTCCCGTCATTGCCTCCAGTGCCAGCGCTTCCAGCGCCAGCGCCTCCAGCTGCAGTGCCTCCAGCTCCAACTCCACCAGCGGCAGTGCCTCCAGCTCCAGCAGCGCCACTCCGAAGGGAGGTGCGCCGAGAAAACCACTCGCGCAGCTGCTGGGGGAAGAGAGGCTCCACAGTGACTCCAGCACTAGGACCACCAGTCCCAGCGCCTCCAGCTCCAGCACCTCCAGCTCCAGCGCCTCCAGCTCCAAGACAACCAGCTCTGACGTCGCCAGCTCCAGTGCCTCCAGTGGAAGTGCCTCCAGCGGCAGTGCCTCCAGCTCCAGCGCCTCTAGCGGCAGTGCCTCTAGCTCCAGCAGCGCCACTCCGAAGGCGGGTGCGCCGAGCAAACCACTCGCGCAGCTGCTGGGGGAAGAGAGGCTCTCGCTGGCCAGACTGCTGCGGCGAGGCACCCGTAGAACCTCCAGCAGACGTAGGATCCCTAGACGCAGCACCCCCACGCTCTGCACCCTCAGGCTCAGCACCCCCAGGCTCAGCACCCCTAGGCTCAGCACCCCCAATTTAGCACCCCCAGGCTCCGCACCCCTAGGCTCAGCACCCCCAGGCTCCGCACGCTCAGGCTCAGCACCCCGACGCTCTGCACTCGCAGGCTCAGTACCCCCAGACGCAGCACCCCGAGCAGCACCACCCCAGTAGCACCAGAGTCGCCAGTGACCTCGACAGGCTCAGCCAAGGGAAGTGGGTCTACCTGAGACACACCTAAAGGAGCAGGACCCTGAGGGGGGAGGGGGTCTATCGGAGGGGGACCTGGAGCGAGGAAGAGCGGCGGGGGGGGGGGGGGAGAGGGGTAGTGCGGTAGGGGAAGAGACGGTAAAAGGGAACCGACTCGTCAAACGTGACGTCCTGAGAGGGCAGAACCCGGCGCGAGGTGGGGTGGTAAAACTGCCAGCTAGGCGCGTCAGGGGGAAAGCCAAGGAAGACGCAGGGAATGGCGCAAGAGGAGAGCTTGTCCGCGGTGGTATCGCGGACAAAGGCACGAGAGCCCCAGACCTGGAACAGCGACGCATTGCCAACCTCCCCCGTCCAACGCAGTGTAGGCGAGGTCTCCGGCAAGGAGACACAGGGCCAGAGGTTGAGCTGATGCGCAGCGTACCGGACCGCAAACGACCACAGAAAATGGGGAGCAGCCGCATGGATCATGGAGGTACGAGCCACCTCCATGACTAAGCCAATGCGGTGCTCAGCAATCCCATTCTGCTGTGGGGAGGCCGGAAGCGTGAACGACTGGAGGATGCCCTCCCCACGACAAATGTCCCGTAAGAGGTCGGAGGAGAACTCACCACCTCTGTCAGAGTGCATACGCAGGAAGGTCCGTGCAGAACCGCTCGCGGAGCTGAAGACGGACAGCGTGGATCCAAGCGATCAAGACATCAGGGACCTCCCCCTTAACGCGAGAAGTCGTCAACAACTACCACAAAGTATCGTTCGCGTCCCAATCCACAAACGCAAGCTGGGCCCCACACGTCCATGTGGAGAGTCTGCAGGGGAGCAGTCGTCGGGGGAAACGAGGAGGAGTGAGGAGCGGCGCGCTGCCGCCCCTCGACGCAAGGAAGGCAGGGCGGGGCAGGCGAGGGTGGGAGGGGAGGCCTGGGAAGACCAGAGACAAGGAGGCGGGAGTGCATGCCACGGAGGCGTGGCAGGGAGGGGTGACCAAGGCGGTGGTGCCAAAGGAGAGTCTGGTGCGACAGGAGGCGACACGAGCAGGGGGCTGCTACCTGGCCTGACACGGACACCTGAGCAGATGCAGCTACCTGAGGAGGCGCAGTAGTCAGTATGTACATACTCGACCCAGGCCGACGTGTGAACGTGGCCAGGTGACGGCCCGTCCGTGTACACGTGCACATCGCCACACGCTGACCCCCAGTAGTGGTGGTAGTGACCATCGCATTCTAGAGGGCAGCAGTACTCACCAAGTTGGTAGAGAACGAAGGGAGTTGAAGACCTGACAGTGAGCCAACAGTCACAGTCACCCTTAGCACTAGTAGTCAAAAGCATACACGCTTGAAAGAATAGCATCATAGTCAAGAGCAAAGATATCCACATCATTCCTACGCAGCTCGCGCCAGATGCTCCTGGTATAGCACGGAGGTGAGGGATGGGATACGGAGGTATGGGTGGTAACTATATGGGTTATATCAGGCGACACTCAAAGGAAAATGTGTTCGACTGCGTGCACATGCCATGTGACCTCACCTTTGCAGCATAGAAGATGCTGCACGGCATCCGCGATCCATGCGAGAGTGTGCAACTGATCTTGCCGCTCTCGGGGTAGTCGCACACCCAGGCGTACAGCAGGGGCCGCACGGTTTGCCAATTACCGAAAGGGTCCCTGAGACGGAACCCGCTGCAAGGAACAGGTAGAGTGGCAACAGGAATTCGGGCGACGGCTTTTAGGGAGGAACGAAGAGGGGCAAAGGGGCAGGCAACATACAGAGACGCTTTGCGCATCAACGCATCAACAGAGGCATGCGCACGGATCTGGTTTTGGGTGGTTGGATGATGACATAGCAAGATGCAACCCGAGTACGAACCTTTCCATGCCATCAAGAAGCGGCTGCAGCACGGTGATGACGCATCGCTGGAAGAGCATCACCTTCTCCACGGCAGACATTGCAGACGGGGGGATAGGAAGGAGGGCAAGTAGTGTGTGCCCGGCTTTCCCCCATCGCTTGGCCTGGGAGATGTTGGCCAGCGTCATCATGAGCGGCCACGCCTTCTTCCGGCCGTTGTTGCTCATGTGCGTCACATCCGAATACAGGATGACCCCCCCCACAACTTCGGACCATCCAAAAGTTCCTGCAATGGACGACAAAGAGGGAACAGACACACGGTCAAACACCACCAAGGTAACGTGTCGCCAGGCAGATTAAGCCTGCTTTAATTCACTCCCAAGGAACATGACATGATGAAGATGCTCCATACACATCAGCGCATCAACAGAGGCATGCGCACGGATCTGGTTTTGGGTGGCAACGGGGTGTTTCCATACCTGAGCATCGTTCCACCACGTTCCTGTTTCTGGCGTGGTATAGCGACGCTCGCCTGTGTCAGGGTCCTCCTCGACACGAGCCTTGAGCTTGAAGCCGGGTGCGTTGTTGGTGTGCCCAAACAGTTCGGCAATTGCCTGGTGTTTAGTGGCAAGGGCAAGAGAGAAGTAAATCCTGGTTAGTGGCGTTGAAGCTGGGTCGGATCTCACACAAGCATAACGGAAGCAACTTTTAACAAGCTCCTTATGGTTGCGGAATGAGCATTTTGCAGCCACGGATCCAGAGTCGGCTTACCTGCGCAGAGTCCTGGAAGAGAAGGCGCTGTGGCGGATGACCGTCAATCTCGAAGGTCGCCACTGACCATCCGCGATTGAGCCCTACCAAGCGCTCCATCTCGAACCGCTCCAGATCCTTGCAGTTCCGGATCTCCGAGATTACAAGAGACGCAAGGGCGGGATCCACCACGAGCTGAAGCAGGCCATTGATGTCGATCTCCACCATTCCCATTCCGCCATTTACGCGCCGAATGAAATGCAGCAGCTTCAACGCAACCGGATTGAGGGGATTGCTGGTCAGAGATGCTGGTCGGCGGCACGGCATTACTCACTCCAGGGCGGCTCTCCGGATGCTCACTCGTGTCAGCTGCTCGTGGCGGTTCATGCTCATTTGCAAGAGCCCCCTCGTTCACAGCCGAGGGTGTTACGTCTTCGTCAGCTTCATGCACGTGAGGAGGAACATTCACACCGTCGGTGTTGGATGCGTTAGACGCTGTAGGTGAAGTGGGAGCGGCTGGAGCGTCCGACAGAATGTCGTGGACGAATAGCAGAGCGTGTAGACCGGCGGACGGTGCAGATCGTGAGGGCCTTGCCACGGCGGAAAGCCCTTGACAAGGGGTCCGCCGTGACTTATGACCGCCATAAACTTGGGCGTTGGGGAACCATCTGTTGCAGAACTCGCAGACAACGCCTGGCAAAGAGCCCATGTGTTACGAATCCGTCTAATAGTCGAGAAATGGCCTGTGAAGCAACTAGCCCGTTTGAAGCTTGTGAACGCATGAAGTACTCCGTTCTAGAAGGCTGTGACTGCAACACGGTCAGCATCAAATTGCGCACTGTCCAAGGCGGCTTGTATCACTGCACGACTGGCACTTGAGCGGGGCGCTAATGTTTGGGACTGGCTAACGATGTTCGAGCCGTGTAGTCGTGACAAGGCACAATACAGACCGCCCACAGCACGGGTCGTCTTCCCTACAAGACGTGTCGCCCTCGTTAAGACCGACCACGACGTGAGCAGAGGAAAATGCACTGGATCTTAAGGCGGTTGGTCGTGTGTGTGCGTCGCGAGCACGGTGAGAAGGACGTGCCTATTGATTCAAGCACTTGGGTGTTTGAACCGTGAGTGAGAGTCGAGGGGGATGAGGAAGAGCGGGAAGAGATCCGTTTGGATCTGTGATTCTGTGAAGAATCGTTAAAGGGGGGAAATCGCAATCACGTAGGTGAGCTCAAAGTGGTGCGCACCTCTAGAGCCTTACTACAAACCAGGATATGACATTGTACAGTTACATTTTGACTAGGCACTCAAGCCATTGATAACTATCGTACAATAACATTAAAAGGCCTGCTCAAAGATCAACCCCTACTTAACAACGGGAGAGTTTAAGAACCCTCCAAGATCTCTAGTGTGGTCAGGAAACAAACGGTTAGTACCGAAGAACTCTGTGCCCTAACGAATATTTGTTGCGTGTACCGAATATGTATATACCGCTGACGATAACGCATCGCTGCTTGTGCGTTGGGCCTGTGCTTCATACCACTCCTCCTGAGCACCACGTTGAATGTCCGTGCGAGAGTGGATGACAATCCAACACCATACCACAACGGATTCACCATGTCGCGCAACACACAGGCCCGAACGCTCCAACGTCGCACTGTCTAAACAGTGCTGTCGATAACGCGTCGCCGCCTGTGCGTTGGGCCTGTGCTTCATACCACTCCTCCTGAGCACCTCGTTGAATGTCCGTGCAAGAGTGGATGACAATCCAACACCATACCACAACGGATTCACCATGTCGCGCAACACACAGGCCCGAACGCTCCAACGTCGCACTGTCTAAACAGTGCTGTCGATAACGCGTCGCCGCCTGTGCGTTGGGCCTGTGCTTCATACCACTCCTCCTGAGCACCTCGTTGAATGTCCGTGCAAGAGTGGATGACAATCCAACACCATACCACAACGGATTCACCATGTCGCGCAACACACAGGCCCGAACGCTCCAACGTCGCACTGTCTTAACAGTGCTGTCGAAAACGCGTCGCCACCTGTGCGTTGGGCCTGTGCTTCATACCACTCCTCCTGAGCACCTCGTTGAATGTCCGTGCAAGAGTGGATGACAATCCAACACCATACCACAACGGATTCACCATGTCGCGCAACACACAGGCCCGAACGCTCCAACGTCGCACTGTCTTAACAGTGCTCTCGAAAACGCGTCGCCGCCTGTGCGTTGGGCCTGTGCTTCATACCACTCCTCCTGAGCACCTCGTTGAATGTCCGTGCAAGAGTGGATGACAATCCAACACCATACCACAACGGATTCACCATGTCGCGCAACACACAGGCCCGAACGCTCCAACGTCGCACTGTCTTAACAGTGCTCTCGAAAACGCGTCGCCGCCTGTGCGTTGGGCCTGTGCTTCATACCACTCCTCCTGAGCACCTCGTTGAATGTCCGTGCAAGAGTGGATGACAATCCAACACCATACCACAACGGATTCACCATGTCGCGCAACACACAGGCCCGAACGCTCCAACGTCGCACTGTCTTAACAGTGCTCTCGAAAACGCGTCGCCGCCTGTGCGTTGGGCCTGTGCTTCATACCACTCCTCCTGAGCACCTCGTTGAATGTCCGTGCAAGAGTGGATGACAATCCAACACCATACCACAACGGATTCACCATGTCGCGCAACACACAGGCCCGAACGCTCCAACGTCGCACTGCCTAAACAGTGCTCTCGAAAACGCGTCGCCGCCTGTGCGTTGGGCCTGTGCTTCATACCACTCCTCCTGAGCACCTCGTTGAATGTCCGTGCAAGAGTGGATGACAATCCAACACCATACCACAACGGATTCACCATGTCGCGCAACACACAGGCCCGAACGCTCCAACGTCGCACTGTCTTAACAGTGCTCTCGAAAACGCGTCGCCGCCTGTGCGTTGGGCCTGTGCTTCATACCACTCCTCCTGAGCACCTCGTTGAATGTCCGTGCAAGAGTGGATGACAATCCAACACCATACCACAACGGATTCACCATGTCGCGCAACACACAGGCCCGAACGCTCCAACGTCGCACTGTCTTAACAGTGCTCTCGAAAACGCGTCGCCGCCTGTGCGTTGGGCCTGTGCTTCATACCACTCCTCCTGAGCACCTCGTTGAATGTCCGTGCAAGAGTGGATGACAATCCAACACCATACCACAACGGATTCACCATGTCGCGCAACACACAGGCCCGAACGCTCCAACGTCGCACTGCCTAAACAGTGCTCTCGAAAACGCGTCGCCGCCTGTGCGTTGGGCCTGTGCTTCATACCACTCCTCCTGAGCACCTCGTTGAATGTCCGTGCAAGAGTGGATGACAATCCAACACCATACCACAACGGATTCACCATGTCGCGCAACACACAGGCCCGAACGCTCCAACGTCGCACTGCCTAAACAGTGCTCTCGAAAACGCGTCGCCGCCTGTGCGGTGGGCCTGTGCTTCATACCACTCCTCCTGAGCACCTCGTTGAATGTCCGTGCAAGAGTGGATGACAATCCAACACCATACCACAACGGATTCACCATGTCGCGCAACACACAGGCCCGAACGCTCCAACGTCGCAATGCCTAAACAGTGCTCTCGAAAACGCGTCGCCGCCTGTGCGGTGGGCCTGTGCTTCATACCACTCCTCCTGAGCACCTCGTTGAATGTCCGTGCAAGAGTGGATGACAATCCAACACCATACCACAACGGATTCACCATGTCGCGCAACACACAGGCCCGAACGATGCAACGTCGCAATGTCTAAACAGTGCTCTCGAAAACGCGTCGCCGCCTGTGCGGTGGGCCTGTGCTTCATACCACTCCTTCTAAGCACCTTGTTGAATGTCCGTGCAAGAGTGGATGACAATCCAACACCATACCACAACTGTTTCTCGTTATTTACTATTCAACGTCACGTTAGAATATCGCATGCAAGCGAGTACCCGTTGTGGCAAAGCCTACAGGTGCGCAGTACAGCTGTCACAACAAACCCTTCTGGAGGCACTTTTTGTGTGTGACATGAGACAAACCCACTACCGGCTGAAACCCCATACTAAAACATTAGCAACAAAGGTTTTGATGTTTTGAATTGTTGTATTTTTTAAATTTATTTAGCTCCTATGTGCAACACTGTGCGTTCGCGACAGCACTGTACGTTGCAGGGATCAGGTTACATTTGCACATGAGGTTCTTAAACCGTCATACCATGCGTAGTGATTGATGCGTTGGCAAACGTGATTGGCCGATGCATCTCAAGCGATTCCCCACGCAACACAAGCACCAGCCAAGAGGTACTTCCAACCCTGGGTGGCTGAGATCGAGCAGGACGCGTGTTTATGCTCGGGTGGCTACACGTACACCGTCCGTTATAGCCTGATAAGGTTACAGTAATCCCTCTAGTCTCGCAACCCACCCCAACAACACTCGTGCCCCACCCACCAGCTTCCGTCACCCTCTGGGCCATCACTTTGACGCTGCTCGCTGTTTGACAAGCCCGTTTCCAGATCGCTCGTGACTCACCAGTATACTAAGTCATGGGCCGTAGCTATGTGCGTAGTGGCAAATATTTCAGTATAAGTTGTTGCGGCGATTTTCAGAGGAAGATAACAGTGATAGACCGTCGATAATCCCATCGTGGGATTCAGTTCCGGCACCCCTTCGAAACCGGCTAACCCGTTCCGCGCGATTGAAGTTGGCATTCCTACAATAACCATGACACGTGCCACACGTCAACAAGCAATGGAAGAGGAACAGGCCGAACGCCGCGCGGCAAGGATGGTGTCTAAACGCACCGATAGGGAGGGTGGCGGCGGCGCTAAAAAAACTAATGTGTCCGTCGCGCGTGGCACTGGGCTGATAAAAGTGGCTACAAAGAAGGTCGCGCGCGGTCAAGAGAAGACCGGCAGGAAGGCGGAAGACAACGGGAAGCAACCAGGGCCATGCAAGCGTGTTTCTACAGTGAACAAAGATGCGGATGTTGCCTCTGCTGGCACCGTGCCCGGTCAGACTCACGACGGCACCAGTGGCGGCAACGAAGATCTAGGGTGAGGGAGCGCGAGTCTTGCAGTCCCGTCGGCCGAGAGAGAGGGATCGGCGACAGGGGGAAACCACGGAGGCGATCCCCGTGCCGAGCATGATGCAACCAAGGAGTCTGAGGCGGAGGCATCACAACACCATCTGACGCTGCTCCAGCCGACCGTGGTCGAAATTTCTGCTGCCGTGCTGGATAAGGACAAGGTGGGGGAGCACGAGTCGATGGGGGATCCTAAACACAACATCGCCGACTCGGTGGATCTCCTCTTTCTGGTGGACGGGGGAGGCGTAGGCAGAGGAAGAGCGATGGGGAGGAGGACGATTATGACACCGCCGTGCCCGGGGACATCACCACGCGGATGAAGAGGCGGCAGACGACAGGCAGTGCTGACGACGCCGGTGGCGCGGAAGTTGGGACAACGCGAGGCGCCAGTGAAGCTAGTGGCAAGGCGACGGGTCATGCATTGCGCCAGAAGGGCCGACCCACGGCAAGAAAAACATCCGGCGGAAAGAGGGGCAAGACAGCAGCGATGAGGACGAGGCCGAAACAGGGCGATGAAGACCCTGGTGACGCTGAGGAGGCGGATGATGAGGAGGAGGATGCGGAAGAAGAGGATGCGGAGGAGGATGACGCGGATGATGGGGAGGATGAAAAAGATGAGAACGATGGCGAGGAGGACGAAGAGGAGGAGGAGGAGGAGGAGGAGGAGGAGGAGGAGGAGGAGGAGGAGGAGGAGGAGGAGGAGGAGGGGGACGGCGAGGAGGAGGATGAGGAGGAGGAGGAGGAGGAGGAGGAGGAGGAGGAGGAGGAGGAGGAGGAGGAGGAGGAGGAGGAGGAGGAGGAGGAGGAGGACGTGGCGGCAATGAAGGGACGTGGCAGACGACAGAGTGGTACAGGGAAGGTGGGGGGCCAGACTCGCCATTCCCGGAAACGCGGGGCAGTTGACGCCGGGTGAAGGTCGAAAGTGAAGGGGGTGGTAAAAAGCAAGGGCGCCAGGGAGCAAAAGGGGATGGAGGAGGAAAGGGTGGCCGCGCCAAAGGGGTTCCAGTGGGTACCGGCAAGAAAGAACCTGCCGGTAAACGTCGCAGCGGCCGCCAAAGCACCCCGCGGAAAGGTGGCAACGAGAAGGCGCTGGCAGCAAAAAAACCGACGGGCCAGCAGAAAAGTGAGCACCCTGGCCAATACACCTGGCGTTTTCCTTGCACTCTCTGCTCAATCGGGCCAAATAACAACATTCTTCACTTGGTTTCTCCCATGCAAGGAAGGAGAAGGTCGACGAATCTGCAAAGCAAGGTAAAGCCTCTTATCTCAAAACAGTACAACCCTAAACCAGAATTAGATTCAAACCATTGATCTCATGCATGCCTGACTGGCCCTGTATTGATACCGATCGACTCTAATTTCTTGATCCTACTCCCTCTAAATCTCAGCCCCTCATGTTACAGGCATTGGGCCACCGGTAAGCGTGCAACGGATGCAGCTAACGAAAGGGGCCGGAAGAGCGAGTGTTACACCGCTATCCACAGGAGCACCAAGGTTCTTCACGCCATACTCCGGCCCGAGCAAAGTCGCTGCGACTGCACCCGGCGCGCCAAGAGGAGAGGAATCCGAATCCCCTCCACCAGCCCCCGTCACGCACTCCCCACTTGCCTCATCCTCGTACCCATTTCGGCCACTACACGCTTCTCCTGTCCGGGGCAGGGCGGTCTCCCCCCTCGCCGGTCCTTCGCACAGGCATCAACCAAGCACTTCTGCCAATCCCTTCCCTGAGCTCCCCTTTTCCCGCCAGCGTGATAGTGCGAGGGCACACGGGACTTCTGCAGAAGATGTTGATCCCCTTGGCCAGAGGGGGAATTCTTCACACCCTTTTCCTCCGCTCATGGGTGCCCTAGGTGAAAGTGCGGAGCACGAGCAGTTTGTTACACGGGAGGAGTTCCAGGCGTTGCGGTCTGAGATGTACGCCATGTTTGCACAGCTCGGCCTGCATCGTGGAGTACCTGCCAGTTATGCCGGTGGTTCCGCAACCGTGCCTATGGCTGGTACCCCTCCGCCGATGAGTGCAGTGGACAAGGCACGAGTGCTAGTGTTGCGGGAGACAAACCCATTCCCGGTATGTGGCGGGCCCAAAAGGGGCGGGTGGGGGTTGACGTGGCAACAAGGCAGGGTTGGGACTGACGTGGCAGTTTTAAGGGGTACACTGGAGCGGCTGATGACGAGGCAAGGCGTTTCAGGTGGGTGGGGGGTGACGTGGCTCTTGGTGGGGGGTGTGACGTGGCGAGTGGGGTGGTTTGTTGGTGGACGTGGCGGATGCAGGAGGGTATGACGTGGCAACCAGGGCGGGGTTGCGGATGACGTGGCGGTTGGAAAGGGTACACTGGAGCGGGTGATGACGAGGCAAGGCATTTCAGGTGGGTGGGGGGTGACGTGGCTCTTGGTGGGGGGTGTGACGTGGCGAGTGGGGTGGGTTGTTGGTGGACGTGGCGGATGCAGGAGGGTATGACGTGGCAACCAGGGCGGGGTTGCGGATGACGTGGCGGTTGGAAAGGGTACACTGGAGCGGATGATGACGAGGCAAGGCGTTTCAGGTGGGTGGGGGGTGACGTGGCTCTTGGTGGGGGGTGTGACGTGGCGAGTGGGGTGGGTTGTTGGTGGACGTGGCGGATGCAGGAGGGTATGACGTGGCAACCAGGGCGGGGTTGCGGATGACGTGGCGGTTGGAAAGGGTACACTGGAGCGGCTGATGACGTGGCAAGGCGTTTCAGGTGGGTGGGGGGTGACGTGGCTCTTGGTGGGGTGTGTGACGTGGCGAGTGGGGTGGTTTGTTGGTGAACGTGGCGGATGCAGGAGGGTATGACGTGGCAACCAGGGCGGGGTTGCGGATGACGTGGCGGTTGGAAAGGGTACACTGGAGCGGCTGATGACGAGGCAAGGCGTTTCAGGTGGGTGGGGGGTGACGTGGCTCTTGATGGGGGGTTTGACGTGGCGGGTGGGGTGGTTTGTTGGTGGACGTGGCGGATGCAAAAGGGTATGACGTGGCAACCAGGGCGGGGTTGCGGATGACGTGGCGGTTGGAAAGGGTACACTGGAGCGGCTGATGACGAGGCAAGGCGTTTCAGGTGGGTGGGGGGTGACGTGGCTCTTGGTGGGGGGTGTGACGTGGCGAGTGGGGTGGGTTGTTGGTGGACGTGGCGGATGCAGGAGGGTATGACGTGGCAACCAGGGCAAGGTTGCGGATGACATGGCGGTTGGAAAGGGTACACTGGAGCGGATGATGACGAGGCAAGGCGTTTCAGGTGGGTGGGGGGTGACGTGGCTCTTGGTGGGGGGGTGTGACATGGCGAGTGGGGTGGTTTGTTGGTGGACGTGGCGGATGCAGGAGGGTATGACGTGGCAACCAGGGCGGGGTTGCGGATGACGTGGCGGTTGGAAAGGGTACACTGGAGCGGCTGATGACGAGGCAAGGCGTTTCAGGTGGGTGGGGGATGACGTGGCTCTTGGTGGGGGGTGTGACGTGGCGAGTGGGGTGGGTTGTTGGTGGGCGTGGCGGATTCAGGAGGGTGTATAACGGCAAGTTTACACTGTGCTGCTAATCACCATCATGTGGTCACCCAGACACAATCATAGCTGCTGGTTTCTCTCACCCATGCGATGTCATATACCCTACACACCTGCGCAGAACAAAGCCAACTTAGTGACCTGTCAGCTCATGTTCCTGAACCCGCCGGCAAAAATCCAGTACTACCCTGCACCAGAGGAAGTGTTCGAAGCGTTCTCTGTCCACTTGTCTGCAGAAGGGCTCGAATCAATGAAGTTGCTGTGGTTGCACAATGATAAGCAAACCATGGGTGTCTTCAACCACCAGATGTCGTCAACAAGGTCAACTATCAACTCCACCCTCAGGCCAGCAACATACGCCGGCATGGGCCTCTCCGATTACACCCATCTCGTGGATAGCCTGCCCACTGAGCTACACCCAAAGAAGTGGTTCAATAACGAGGAACTCCTGGCCAAGTACAGAGATGGTATGTGCGACTCGAACACACCATATGCCCCACCATATGCCAGTTGGCATCTACCAATAACCGTGTGGTGTTCCTCACCCTGACTCTCACCCCCCCACTTGATTTCTCTGCACCTCCTTTCCAACCCATACCCTCCCTGCCACAATGCAGAACATTGGGCCCTCAACCGGCACTTTGACAAGGCCACTGGGACGCCCTTCAGCAAACCCTTGTTTGCTTATGCGTTCAAGCTCTCCTTCAAGAGGGGCGGGGTCGTGTTCACCAAGTTCAAGAGCCGCATGGTGGCATGGGGCCTGTTTTCGGTAAGGATGTAGATTTGTGTCTATACACCCATGCCTCATCCCCTACACCCCTTGCCTGTACTTCATTAAACTCCCTGGTCGCTTAGGGGTTTGCGGTTACGTAGGCCCACTACTCTGAAATCACCGCTTTCATTTGGCTCATATACCCGTTACCTTCCCTCATACACCATCCACCCAACCCTACACCACATTGCAGATCGAGTGGCCCCTTCTGCAGGACAAGCGCCGCAAGCGAATTCCGGCCCAGCCGGAACAAAACAGGCCGGACTACTTCGAGTGGTGTGAGAAGGTCAAACAGATAATACACTTCGCCGTCGTGGAGCGGCGGATCCAACACGATCCGGCTCAGGGTGCGTTCGTCTTCCCGAACAAGTTCCTCATCGACGATGGCGACCTTGGAGATGTTGTTCTTGCCCACCGGGCGCTTGCAGGGCCCAGCATTGCGTAGGCTATTGGACCTAGTATTTAAGCTGCTGGTTATTAGAATACTGAATAATGGTTGTTGTGAAAAAAAAAAAGTCAATGTAAATTTGAAATGCTAAAAATGTAAAATGAACTAAACCATAATGTAGATTTGAATACAATGGTCCCGAATCTGCACCAAAGCGGGTTGCGCCCGAAAGCCACCCTGAAAAGCTCGCAAGCCAAATCGGAACTTATTCCGAGCCAAACATTGTCGCGAGATGTGTCTCGGAGCTCCTATCAAATGACTCCAACCGTCGGTGCAAATTCGATCCCACTTTTTCTACGCGAACTCAATCGAAATCAAAATTCGTCAAACATTGGCATAGGGTTTTTGTGATGACCGCCGCCAGCACTCCCACCGCCACCACCACCGCCGCCACCGACGACGCCACCCCCACTGCCACTCCCATCACCACCACTACCACTACCTCCACCACCTCCACTGCCTCCACCACCGCCTCCACCGCCGCTACCCCCACCACCCTTGCCTCCCTTGCCCTTGCCGCTGCGGCGCCTCCCACTAGGAGCAGACGCAGCCCCGACCTCCTCAGCACCAAGGAAGTCAACAGCAGCAGCAGAAGCGATAGAGCGAGCAAGGGGGGAGGGGGAACACCCCTCAAAGAAGGGAGTGCGAGGAGTGCCACGAGAAGCACCTACAACAACTGCGCTAGTCTAAGCTGCAAGGAGTTGCTTCTCAAGCAGGTCGACAGTGAGGTCTGTGGGGTCAAGGGCGAGAAAGTGGTCCCTGACTGCGCGAAGAGAGTCAGGGAGGCGGGTGACGATGAAGTAGAGAGTGATGTACATGGGGGGGGGGGGGGTCTTTGCTAGAAGCTCGTCTTTAAGCGCGGCGCGGTAGCGAGTGTCGCTAGTGCGAAGGTGGGTGATGAGGTCGGCGACCGTGGAAAAGCTAGACCGCTCAGGAAAGAGGTATGGCAGTATGAGTCGGCCTAGAGCAGCAGTGGCAGGGGAGGAGTAACGAGCGACTACAGCGTCAAACAGTGCTTTAGCAGTCTTGTGCTGGCCAAAGTGCGCGCGTTCGGCTAACGGCAGGAGGTTTCGAACGACGAAACGAGCAGTAGCGTCATGGGTAAGCCACTGTGAGCGGGTCGCACTGTCAGCGGTATCGGGAGGAGCGAGAGCGGTCCCAGACGTGAGGTCAAACAGGAAGACACCGTCCCTAGACTCGGTCTGTAGGTACAGCTGTAGGTCATCGAGCCACGTATCGAACTGGATGGGACGACCCTCAGGATCGAATGTGAGAACGCTGAGAGTAGCCATAGTGGGCAGAGCAGGGCGGCGCGCGTGCACTAAGGGAAACGCGCAAGGCAGGAACGGCGGCGCACGGATGGCAGGGCGGCGCGCGGGTAGGAAAGGGCAGCGCGCTGGCTGTAAGGGGCGGCGCACGGGCTGCAAGGGCGGCGCACGGGCTGCCAGCAGCGGCGCGCGGCTGCGAAGGGCGGCGTGCGGGCAGGAAGGGGCAGCGCGCAGGCTGCAAAGGGCAACGCGCGGGCTGCAGGGGCGGCGCGCGGGCTGCAAGGACGGCGCGCGGGCTGCAAGGGCGGCGCGCGGGCTGCAAAGAGCGGCGCGCGGTCTGCAGGGGCGGCGCGCGGGCTGCAAGGGCGGCACGCGGGGCGGCGTGACGCAGGGGAGGGCGTACGCGGGCAGCGCGATGCTGGGCAGGGCGCGCGCAGGCAGCGCGACGCAGGGTAAGGCGTGCGCGGGGCAGCGCGACGCGGGGCAGGGCATGCGCGGTCGGCGCGACGCAGGGCAGGGTAGGGCGTGCGCGTGGCGCGCGACGCAGGGCAAGGCAGGGCAGGGCAGCACGACTGGTGGGGCAGCGTTACGGGCAGGAAACTAGTTGGTGGGCCCTAAAAAACGGTCCTGGAACAAGACCTGCTCTGAAACCATGTCAGAATAACTGAGGAGAATGAATGAACTAGGCAGGAATGTGGTACAAATATGGCAAACCCTAATTTTGGTGTACCCCTTATGGGCTACCCCACTACAGCCTACACAACATATTTTGACAAAAATGTATATCTAGCTATACCACCCTTGGTTCCAGAAAGAATAAGGGTACCTACCCACGATCGTCCAACTTCAAGTGTTGAAATTGTAACGGGGCTTCGCCAACTTCACGCGCACTGTTTCTCCAAACCATGCTCCGCTGGCCTGGCCGAGTCGGCCTACGCTTCGAGACTAGTCAGAACCTCGATGTCAGCCTAGTACTAACTAGCTCATACGCACCGCGTTATCGTTTGCATGTTTCGCAATAAGTTTTCGCTCATACCTTCGCTTATATTTTGTACTCGTTTGACACCTAGTGCAATCCTCGCTATCTCGTTCCATTGCACCCGTAACACTTGATATTCATAGCCACTTCTTTTGGACCGCCATCTCCGCACCTAGAGAAATCAACTTTTGAATTTGCACTCGAATGGACTCACGCCCATTAGCACTTAAGAGCCGCTGTCCTCACGTTCTCTCGAAAACGCGTGCAGCCGCGATCACACCTAGAACTAAGCTGAGCCGCCGTCCTTCGACATGGGGGAACGCATTGACGTCACGACCCTCACGCAAGAGCGCCTGGACCGACTGCTGCAGCAGCTGCAAGAAAGCACCGAGGAAATTGCAACGCTGACGGCAGAGCGTACGTCATTGCAAAATGATGTCGCACGGGCGCAACAAGCACAGTCACAAACACAAGGCACACAAGGGCAATGAGCACGTCAATCTTTGCAATACGAAAGCGTGGGGCAACCTACGAGCGCGGCTAGTGATGGCGTCGCCCGCAACGACGGAGACGACAATCACAGCGCGACAAAATTCGAAGCGACGAATGCTGCCAGGAGCCAACTACGTATCATGATTTCGGTGCCGACCTGCGATTCAGCATTGCCGTCACCAATGTCGCTCAAGCCACAACGTCAGCCTTGCTTCTGCAAAGAGTCACTCTACAACGAGAGCTGGACTACGAGAGGGTACGGGTCCTAGAGTGATCGTAGCTTTGCCTTCGTTCCTTAGCACTTGCGCATCACAACGAGAATTGGCAAGAGTTTCACTAGGAAAAGTTGAAAGGACAGAATTGTTAACAAGCAATGGCAAGCATGACTACATCAGAGCCTAGCAACCTAGCAGCCAGGTAGGTCGACCGCCAGCACAGCATGGTCGACCGCCTGCCAGCGTTGCGAAAAGGAACTGCGCCATCGCTGCTGAAACATGGCCTGCCAACAGAGTAGGTCGACGGCGTGCCAACGCTGCAGCAAAGCGGCTGTCCAGCGTTGCCCCGTAGAAGACAGCAATGCGCTCGCCCGCTGGTGTGCACATACGATTGGCCTGACATGCCCCGTCACGTGCTCGTCGGCTGTTGTCTGCGCCTGATGAGCCACATCGATTTTGGGATACCCGCCCGAAGTCGTTTCCGCAATCGCATCCTCGACGACGTTCGCGTGCCTACGCAGAACCTCCTCGAGTAGACAACCTGGTCGACCGGGTCGACCATTCCGCACGCTCCCTCATCGATGGCCTCCCTCGTCGACCACCGCGCCCGTCGAAGACTTCCCTCCAGTCGACAACCCGTCCGTCGACCAACTCGGTTAGCTTCAGCCGTCGAGCTCCCCTCGTCGACGGCTCTAGCTCCGCGTCAGCCTTGTGCAGGTCGACGACCACCTCGTCAGCCTGCCCCCCAAATGTAGGCCGTCGACGGCCGCAACAGTCTCCTGCAGCTTGATGAAACCCATCGAGTTGCTCGCCCAGGCTGGCGTCGAGCACTGCGTACTGTCGGCTGCTTCTCCCGTGCACCCGACCAGGAAGTCGACGTCCCCAAGCGAGGGCGGGACCAACACTCCATTCTCGTTAACACTCCCCTGCAGCATCACGCTTGGGCTCCTACCCCACGCAACAAAACTTTACGGAGAAAACTCATCGCCGGCGTACATCCAATATTCAGCATGCCGTCACCTCACCAGCCGTGCAGAAGGGCACGGCACCTACTGCTGCACGTCATCATCTCTGTCGCCAGTGTCCGCGAGACGCACCTAGCCGAGCTCGACGAAGCACCAGTTGAAGGTCGGAAAGTGCAGCGCCTTTGTCAGGAAGTTGGTTGGTTGCTCAAAAGTCGGGATGTTCTTCAGCACGAACTTCCGCGGTTCACCATTTCCTGCAGCCAGACGTAGCATCCCTCTATATGCTTGAGGTTGCCCTTCAGCCCCAAGCCTTCAGCGACCGTGATCGCCGACTTGTTGTCCACCCGAAGGACGGTCGGCTTCCCAGCGTCAAGCAGCTTGAACTCTGCAAGGAGGAAGTGAAGTCAACGCCCCTGCTTGCCGGCGTCCGTAGCCGCGACGTACTCGGACTCGGTTGAGGAGAGCGTAGCGCACTTGATGCGCTGGTTCAAACAGGAGACCGCGACCCCTCTGAAGACGAACACGTAGCCGCCCGTGCTCATCCGGTTCTGCTTGTCGCTCGTGTCGTCGGCGTCTACGTAGCTGACCAGCTTCAGCGACGCTGGTCCACCACTAAACTCCAGGGCGGTATCATAGGCGTTGGCGAGATAAGTGAGGCAGCGGTCGACCTCGCGCCAATGGTTGTCGCTCCTCACCGTCAGGCCGCTCCCCAGCTTGCTGCACGCGAAGGCGATATCCGGCCTCGTCGTCGTCGCCGCGAACTGCAGCGAGCCAACCTTCTGCCGGTACTCCTCCTCCTCGCGCTCCTGAGCCTCTTCATCGTCAAACGTCATCTCAGTGTAGGCGTCAACGGAGACGGGAATATTTGGAATTCGCCCAGTCGGATCCTCGTCGATGAAGCGATTGCGTAGCTTCTCGACATAGCTCTGCTGGTCCAGCCACAACTTCCTCGCCGGCCTGTCGCGCACGATCTCCAGCTCAATGTACCTCTCGACCGGCTTGATCTCGCCCAACTCAAAGGTGGCCTCCAGCAGCTCCTTCAGCTCCTTCAGCATCGCGGTGCTGCTGCTGGTGGCGAGGAGGTCATCAACGTAGACTTGCACCCAGCAAGTCACTCCATCGTTGCCGACCTTGAAATAGAGTGCCTCATCGACCTGGCTCTTCTTCCAGCCGGCGCCAAGCAGCACGCCGTCGAGAGCCTTGTACCACAGCAGCGGCAACTGCTTCAGCCCGTAGAGGCTCTTCAGCAGCTTGCACATCCGGCTGGTACCGTCGTCGTAGTAGTCCGGCTGGTATATGTATAGCACCTGGTCGAGCTTGCTCTGTAGGCTACGTTGACAAGCTCGACCAGATCCTCAGAGTAACGTAGCTGCAGGCTACGTCGACAGGTACTTGCTTGCTCTGTAGGCTACGTCGACAAGCTCGACCGGGTACTTGTTCAGGTCAAGGACGACGACAATGCTGATGAAGATCCTCAGAGTAACGTAGCTACTAACTGGCGCGTACGTCTCATCGTAGTCGGCGCCATACACCTGCGTGAAGCCTTTCACGACCAGCCTCGCCTTCTCCCGAGCGACCGTGTCGTTGATGTGGTACTTGGTCGTCAGCACCCACCGGTTCTTCATGATATTCACCCAGCGCGGGCGCTCGACCAGCTCCCATGTGCCATTGGTGATGAGGCTGCGGATCTCCTCGTCCATGGCGGTTTTCACTGCCTTACCCTTCCAGCTCGCCAATACCTCCTTCACCGTCATCGTGGCAATGTCCCAGTGGTGTTCGGTGTCGGCGTGTACGTCAAGGTCCAGCTCGGGTAGGTCACCATCAGCCTTTGCATCGTCGAGCAGCGTAGTGAAGGCAGCTGGTGGCAGACAAGCGTGAAGGCTCAGCCGCTCCGGCGGCTTCCGAGTTCGGCCCGAGCGTCACAGCTCGGGCTTCTCAACCGGAACCGCTACCACATCACTGTCGGTAGACTCCGCCCTTGCCGACAGCTCCCCTTCATCATCGGCCACTTCGTTGTCGATGAGCTCCTCCACCATTGTCCGCTCCTCGACCAACTCCTCCCCTCTCTTCGGCTTGCTTGCCGACTTCTTTTTCGTCGACAGCTCCTCTGTCGACCGCACCATCTACTGCTCCCCTGTCGGCAGCACTTTTGATGCTACCTCCTTCTCAACTAGATCCCC